TTCTCTTCCCCGGCGCAGCCCCGGGCCTGCCGCCGGGCCTGGAAAGGCTCGGCCAAGGTCACGCCGCCCCTGCGGCGGGGCGGCTGCGCCCCCTCCCCTCACCCTTGCGAAAACCCCCGGCCCGGGAGGCAGCCAAGCGGAGGGAGCGGGTCCCGGGCCGGGTGAGGGGTGATGGGTGAAAGCTTCTCCCGGGCCCGGGCCCGGGCCCCGCACTAAGCCAGGCGGGACCTTTATCCGCGATCCTGAGCGCGGCTTTTTTTTTTTGCCATGGTCGGCGCGGGAGTGCCGCGGCTGCCGAGCCCTGTCCGGTACCCGCTGCAGCCATAGGAATGTCCCAGCTGGGGCAGGGCTAGCAGTCAGGTTGGATTCCTCCGATTAAACAGCGTAAAGATACAAAATTGCACCTGTGGGTGTTGTTTCTCAGCTGGGCGGTGGGATACTGCTGCCCACAGAGCCTGAGTGCCCGGCAGCGCTGCTGGCACTGTTAGATGCAGGTGCTGGCTGTGCCTGCATTGCCCGGGGCGATGGCCTCTGGCGCGGCGGCAGGGAGCTGTGCTGGGAGGAAAAGGAGGGCAGGTGGATCGCGCCCGAATTGCCATATGCACAGCTGAAGGTTGCATTTTACCCAGCTGTAGAAGTGGGTCCTTCCTTCCTTCCTGACAGTATGAACTCTCCTAGCAGATACCAGTTGTACTTTGTAAACAATTGCTTGGTTTGTCCAGTTTAAATTTCAGGCCTTGTACAGTAGGAGTATTTATGGTAGCATAGGTATTTATATTGCTAGACTTGGTCAGGCTTTGGTTTTTTGATGCTAACCCTTGAAAGTACTGCTGTTAACACCCTGTAAGGGACATAACTTTTTCAGGGAGAAGTTTAATTTAAAACTTCCTGCTGCCTATTATAACTTGAGCTGGGGAGAAAAACAGACGAAAATCCCCCTCCAAAATCAAGCAACTAATTCAAAACAGTAAAAAAAAGCAGCCTTTTGTTAGTTGAAGGTTAGCTAATGAAGAAGAGAAATAGGCTAAATTTTCATGTTGCAGATACAACCAGAAGGCATTGTCTAATTTGTAAAAATGGTGGTGTTCTTAAACAGTTGCTTTTAATTAGTATTTATATAGCTGTAATTCAGTAAAGGCTAAAAGTTTCCAGAGTGCTGAATTGTTGTCTAAGGAAATGGCTGAAGAAAGTGGTTTAAGCCACTAATGGAAAGATCTTTCTGTTAATATATGAAACAAACCTACAGATATAATTTTGTATCTTTGCACTATTTAATTAGATGAAGCTACTGGCTGGTGAATTAGACTCTCAGATAATCCCCTTTTCTTGGTTTTGTTATATTGTCCTATCTTGGTGTGATGTTCTGAATTTGTTATCTTCATTTTTGTTCATGAAACACCAAGGGAGTGGAAGTTGTAGATGCAAACTGCCACTGTAAAAGCAGTGGAGTTAATGGTAGGAATGAACCAAAGTCCAGAGAAGCAGACAGAGGGACTAGCAAACTTTTTCCAAGACCGCACCACTCACCCCTGGCTTAGACATATGCTGTAGGTTTACATAACAGACTTGGACAAAATGAACTCGGTGTTGTTTTTGAAGGAGTATTTGTTTATTTTTCAGAAAACATTTTATCACAGATGTTATGGTGAGACTGTACTAGACCACACTTCTTTTCAAAGGCATGTTATGATTTTTCTTCATATTTTTTCAGTGTTTCTTAGATATTAATTTTTGAAATAATAACTTCTATGAAAATGGGTGCATTAAATAATGAAACATTATGGCATTGGCTTTCTTGATGTGAGATTCTGAGGACTTCCTTGTTTTCAGGTTCTGAAATATCCAAGCCGTGGCTATGCATCACAGCGTACTATAAATGTAAGTATAAAGCCCTATCAGACTAATTGCTATTTTAGATTTGTTTGTTAATCACTGATTTTTTAAAGAAAATCATCATGAGATAACTGTCTTAAAGACAATGTCACTTGTGCCCAAGCCATATTTTACTGTAAAATCTGAAACGATAGTCAGATTGCCATTTTTATTTTGATTTGCTAAGTGTGGGACAAAATTAGAAGTATGTCAGCTGATGTAAGCTTCATGTAACTATCAACCCAGAATGGGAAAAGACAGCTGATATCAAATGAAATATCAACTGATCCCTTTGAAATTACTTGTGTTAATCTGCAATTTGCTGTTATAACATAAAAGATGAGGAAAAGTGAAGTCAATCGTGATGAAGGGGTTACAGTAATAGACAGCCTTTCTTAGTTCTAAACAAGTATTGTTTGTTTTTATTTTTTTTTGGTAGTGTTTTCTTTCTTTGCCTGTGTAAATAAAAGAACCAACATCTCATGACTAGGTCCTGTAAGGCTTTGTGGTTAACTTTCACTGAAATCAATGCAGTTGAAAGCAATCACTGCTGCTTCTTGACAGCTGTCAGGGGCAGCCAGAGGTCTGACATGTGCATCTTTTTGGTGCCAGATTCTCATGCTGCTCTCACAGGGTTATCAGGTGTGTATGCAGATGTAGTACTAAAGCTAAGAGGCAAAATAAGAGTAAATTGTTCTCACTGCTAGCATAGGGCTGAATGTCATACCGTGTCTTAAACTGCTGACACCTGGGCTTTTGAATATATCCAGGGGTGGAGACGTCATAACCACTCTGGGTAACCTGTGCCAGAGTTCAGTCACACTCCCAGTGGAGAAGTGTTTCCTGATGTTCAGTGGGAACTTCTTTGTGTCAGTTTGTGCCCACTGGGTCCTGTCACTGGGCACCACTGAAGAGAGTTTGGCTCTCCCTTCTTTACACCGTTCCTTCCAGTATTAATCATGGTGAGGTGCTGCTGTAGAAGTTCTCTGTAGCAGTACAACCCTCTGGTGTATCAGCCACTCCTTCCAGTTTGGTGTCACCAGCAAACCTGCTGGTGGTGGCACTGCACCATCATCCAAGTCATTAATGAAGATGTTCACAGGACTGGACCCAGTGTTGACCCCTGGGACACAGCACTGGTAACTGGCCTCCAACCAGACTTTGTACCTCAATCACCACCCCCAGCATGGCCATTCAGCCCTTTTCTATCCCTCTCACTGTCTGCTTGTCTAGCCCATACTTCTTTAGCTTCTGTGTGAGAATTTCATGGGAGACAGTGGTGAAAGCCTCACTGTAGTCCAGGTAGACAATGTCTTCTCTTTCCTCCTCTATTCAACTAGTCACTTCACAGTAGAAGTCTGGCAGTTTGTCTGAGTGTGGCTTCCCCTTGGTGAACCCATGCTGATGACTCCTGATGATTGTCTTGCTCATGTAAATGTTCTTTTAGGGTTAGTTGTTTCATCACCTTTCCAGAGATTAAGGTAGGTCTGATTGACCTGTGGTTCCCTGGGTCCTCTTACCCTTCTTGAGGATAGGAGTCATGCTTGGCTTTTCTCCAGTCCTTGGGCACCTCTTACAATTGCTGTGACCATTCCAACATTATTGAAAGTAACCTTAAAAAGCCACCTTCCAGCTCCCACAGAACTCTTGGGTGCATCTGATTAGGATGGACTATGGATTTGTGTATGTCCAGTTTGTGCTGACTTGTTTGTCTTCCACCAAGAGTGCATCTTCCTTGCTCCACCCTTCCCCCAGTCTCTGGGCCCTGGGATTCCTGAAGGCTGGTCTTAGTACTGAGGCAAAGAAGGCATTCAGTCCTTCAGCCTTGTCCTTTGTCACCATATCCCCTTCCCAGTTCAGCAGCAGGCCCTTATCTTCCTTGCTTCTTGGGTGCTCATGGAGGCCCTTCCTCTTGCCTTTGACATCCTTTGCCAGATTCAAGTCTTGGCTTTTATAACCTCATCCCTGCTTGCTCAGACTGCGTGCCAGATTCTCTGTCTCCATTTCCATCTCCTGTATGGTTCGTTTTTGTGTGTGAGTTTTTCGTCCATCCTACAATTTTCACCCAAGCAGTAGGCTTGTTGGAATGGATTGCTCTGGAGCTCAGAGGGGACAGTCTTTGAACATCAGCCAACTTTCTTTGATCCCCCTTTGCTCCAGGTTGTTCAAGATTCTTGCAAATATCATCAATTCTAAGTCTGAGCTCAATGCACTCTACCTGTTCTGTCCCATAAAGCTCAAGGCCTCTCCTCTCCCCCCTTGCCTTGTCTCCTTGTCCTTCCTGGAGAGCCCTTATCCCTGCATGGCAGCACTTCAGCCACGTGAGCCATCTCACCACAGCTCCATGATCCAGAGGTTGTGTGCTGCCGCTGCCTGCCAGTCCCCTTATGTTTACTCTTCATGCTGCATGCATTAATAAAAATTTTAGTGGTCTGAAACACTTGCAGGATGAAAGAGAAGCTGTGGCATCAGTGAAATAATAAGAAGTAGATACATTTAAAAATACTGTTATATGTCTGCAATTGTGAGAGAGATTGTGACTTTTACTCTGTTCTTCTGCACATAGGAGGTGGTGATAGCAAGTGCCGTAAGGACACCTATTGGATCTTTCCAAGGATCACTTTCATCACTGCCAGCCAATAAACTTGGTTCTATTGCAATTAAGGGAGCAATTGACAGAGCAGGTATGTATACGCATTTTTTTCCTGTGACAAAGAAAACGTCAAGTGGCTTAGTGTCTTTTCAATGGCTTGGTAATGAAAAAAACCTGCAATGTCCTGAGTTTTTTGCTCCTGTGGCATTTTTAAGTCTATCCACAAATTACATTTAAGTAAAGTTGACTGTCGGGCTTTGGTTCAATCTGAATTAAGTGCTGCTTCTAGGAGTGGAACGTAGTCTGGGGGTATCTGTGCTAGTGCAAATGTGACTGAACATAGTAATTGGCTTTTTGGGATGGGTTTTTATGACATATGTAAGCTGATGAAAAGGCTACTTGCTGCTGAGACCAGTGGCCTTTCCTTTCCCTTCCTGTTTTTTATGTGGGCACATGTACTTGAAGGATAGCCTTGTCAGCCATTTGATGGATTTAATCTAGCAAAAAAGTTTTTCTAGGGGAGAGGAGGGATAGTACTACACTTGGATGCTAGGGCTGTTGCAAGAGATGCAGCAGGAGAGCAGACATCTTCTCTCCAGTGGCAGCTTGCTGTGGCCTTGGCTTGCCCTTGCTAAAGAAGCAAAACTGTCTTTAGACATAATTCTAGCACAAAAGAAGTTTTGTGCATTTAACTAGCCAGGAAAATTGAGCTTCTCAGGTGATTACTGAGACTTGGAAATGTTGACTTCAGTGAAATAACTGCAGCTTGTTCTGCTGGGTGACAGGAGAATTATTTTCTGGGAGTGTCACCTGTTCACCATACTCCATGAATGAGGGTAGAGATCTGGAATTCACCCACGGGAGCCTGGGTTCTATTAGCACATGGGTTGGATGTAGCAAGTTTCATTAGTCTTTGATAGAAAACTTCAGTGGGAACCTTTGTCAAAAGGATCCTGAATCAAAACCATTTTGTTTTGTAGGAATCCCTGCAGAAGAAGTGAAAGAGGCCTATATGGGCAATGTCCTGCAGGCTGGACAAGGACAAGCTCCAGCAAGACAAGCAGTCTTGGGTGCAGGTATTTCTTCTCTTGACACTGGGGTTGGAGGTTTTCTGTCTTTATGTATCTGGAACCTATTGGGCTGTGAGTTAAAGCAGAGTGGTGGGCAGCCCTTTGTCAGAACAGTGTGTGGATGCTTTTTGCCTAGTGAAGGGTGCATGTTGCACTCATGCAAGAGGGATGTTATTGCCTACAGTGTTTACAGAACCTGGAGAAGACAGTACTGGAGACCATGCTGGTAATTTCACATGGGTGCTGCTCTGAATCTTTTACAAAACAGACTTTTTTCTTCAAGTATATCATTATTGTTAATTCTTACTGGATAAGGAGTCAGTTTTCTTCATCTCATGAGTATGTACAACTCATCTTCCTGTGGAGTCTGGAGCTGACACTGGAAGGATTCACTGTATAATGTTAACTGTAGCATGGAAGGGATTGGGGTGCAGAAAATATTTTCTTCTCCCTTCTTCTGTGGGGATGGGATTCCTTACCTTAGCTTGTTCCTAGGAAATCTTGTAGGTCAGGGAAGAACTGTGTACTTTCTTGGGTCTGTTCCTGTACGTTTTTGAAGAAGAAACTACTTTTATGTTAGGCAAAGTGATAAGTAATGTTCTTTTCTTTCACAGAATTATGTCATGTCTGGAGTCAGAAGGGACCTTAAAAGATCTTGTTCCAAACCCCCTGCTGTGGGCAAGGACACCTTCTGTTAGACTGGGGTGCTCAAAGCCCTGTCCAGCCTTTCCTAGTGTCTATATTGGTACCAGTTGCTAAACTCTACAGCTTATTTATGCTTTTTCAGCCTTGGATGCTGCTTAGAGGCAGAGATCAGGGTTTTGGGAACAGGAACAGTTCTGGAATCCCTTCCTCGATCTTCCATTTCCTTGCCTTCCCCCATATCATAAGTGAGTTGTTGGAAGGGAAGAAACAACAGGGGTCTCTGAGGAGGACGGTAACTATGGATAAGTGTAGAAAAATTGCCCTGGCAGGATAAATAGTGCAAGCTGAACATCCTGGGCTTAGATAAAAATTGGTGCCATATGAAATGTTGCTGAAACACCACTAAAAATGCTAAAGTCTACCCTTCAAATAACAGCTGTACAAACAACTTCTTTGACTCAGGTCTTCCAATTGCCACTCCTACCACAACTGTCAATAAAGTCTGTGCTTCAGGAATGAAATCAATCATGATGGCAGCACAAAGCCTGATGTGTGGGAGTCAGGTATGTGTATTTTGTGCTGTTCTGTGGAAAAAAACCGCAGAATTAATGTTTTAGATCCTGTCCTACCAATGACTGTGCTCTTTGATTTGGGATTGTCTTTTGGCTTGGGATAATAAAGCTACCCTAATTTTATAGTTGTTTAAGTATGTTTGAACTCAAAACAGAAAAGAAAGTAAATGCTATAGTTGGAAAATTCAGACATGTTCTTAGAGCTGAGAAAACAAGGTGGATTGTTTGGGGGGTATTTACATCATGTCTCTACAGCTCTATCCCCAACTCACCTACCACTCCAGCCCTCAAAATATAATTAAGGGAATTTTCAAGCTTTCAGTTTTGAAAAGGTGAAGAAATTTTTATGAGACTTAGTTTTTGGTGACTTTCAGACAGTGTTAACATTTAAATAAATTAAATACATCTATTCAAGCAATGTTGTTTCTAAGTACACTAAAGGTCTTTCAGTCTTTTTTATTGTTTTAGAAAAAGTGGAATTTATTGTTGCTGAATAAGCTGTTTAATTAAAGAGCTTGATGAAGGAGAATTGCTCATCTCTGTCAACTTTCTTAGAAGATTTTCTATGCAATGGGAAAAAAACTGTCACTTGATGGGAGGATAGGAGAATACATCATTTTCAGTAAGCCATTAAATACTGTGCAGCAGAGAATGTGGGAGAAGTGTGAATGTGAAGAAAGACATTTCAGTTTTGTTCTTAATTCCACACCCAAAGCATTTTGGCAGCATCTTTGGTTTTTGGAAGTGAAAATATCATCAGTTCAGTTATATATATATTTTGCTTTAAAAGTAAGTGGCTTATAAGTGAGGAATACTTTTGTTTCTGTGTGTGTTTAGAACAAAAATAACGTATTTAAGTTTTGATGTCCCTTCTGTGGAAATCACAGTCTAGCTAGAGTTAAGCAACTGCTTTATTGCTTTGGCCTTGCCTTGCAGAGAGCAGCACTTTGTCTGGGGCCTGCTGAAGTTGATGGAAATCTTGTCACCAGACTTTGAACCAGCCCAGCATGTTTTTGTAAACAGCTGCATTTGGATTTAGTCACTTATATCCAATGACTTCATGAGAGTGATTGTGCCTTTTGTTGGTTTGACAGATGTAGGCCATGAGCTCTGAATAGAACTGGAGTTTTCAGCTGAATTAGTCATACAAGCTGTGCTGCCAGTCTCAGCAAAAGCAGAGACACAGCCAGTTATTAGTCTCTTAGAGCTATAAATTATGAGGGGCTGGTATTGGTTTGTTTTTCCTGGCTGTGGGCTGTGAGGTATCTGTGGTATGACAGTCAGTGATGGTTCCCAGTGGCTTGAGTCAGTGTACACCATTATATAAACAATTGTGTTGGCTCTCTCTCTGGGTCTTTCACTTTATGGAATTGAAATGCCAGGGGCTCTTGTTCCTCTGATCTGCTGCTGCTTCCATATCTCCACTGCCTTTCTGATTTTTCTGTCTTTTCAACAGTTTTGTCTCCATCCTTCTTTCTTTCCTTTATTACTTCATGTCATGTTTCTACCAGGGTAGATTAACTGTCTTCAGTTGTTCTTGTTGCTTGCTTTTTAAATGCTTAAAGGGTTTTTTTTTCCTCTTTCTCTAAGACTCCTCAGAAATATGAAGCACCCATGCTTAAGCTTTTATTAATATTGTTCCTACAGAAAGTCATGGAGAACACACTGCATGATTACTAATTTTATCTTGTTCCCTTTGGGCAGGATGTTATGGTTGCTGGTGGAATGGAGAGCATGTCTAATGTTCCCTACACGATGAGCAGAGGGGCAACACCTTACGGAGGAGTAAAGCTGGAAGACCTGATAGTAAAAGATGGGCTGACAGATGCTTATAACCATATCCATATGGTAAATATTTCTGCAGTGTTCATGTATCAACCATAGATAGACCTGATGCAAATCTGAAGAGTTTGCTTACAGTTCTTATGAAACTCTTTCATCTAGCAAGCCTGGAAATGAGGAGGAAAAAGTCTTCCATTACCAAGTTTCTTGCAGTAGCTGTAATGGAGGGACTGGACTGAAGACCAAAACACCACAGCAGTTTGTGTGTTAGTAGTTACCTGTCTCTGCAGTCTGAATAGGCTAAAGCAAGGATTAAGAGAAAAATTAATTCTGCTGCTGATGGGTTGCTGTTGCTACATCTGAGGGAGGGAGCAAGCAAGTTACCTGGTGTCTTTGAGGATACCTGCTCTGTAGGATTCAGCAGGCTCATGTTTTTCCCTCCCCCAGAGTACTTATCTCATACCTCCTGTGGGAAGGTTTGAGTCAGCTGGCATGCTTACTCATCAGCAGGGTAACTTAAATTGGACAAACAAGGGCAAACTTAGGATGGATTTGGAAAACAACTGATGCAAAGATAGTCAAGAACAATCACCAGGGAAGAAAAGTTTGAAAAGAGAGTGGCTACTTTCAGCTTATGAATATTTCTGACCTTTACCAGTGGTAATTTACAGATGTAGGGCATTATTTATTGATCAGTTGGTGTTCTTGCTGGGATACAGGAAAACACGTAATGATGAATATTTACTGTGGTCCATAGATTTGATACAGACCTCAGTTGTCCATGACTTATTCTTTTTGCACTCTAGTGTTTAGGCTGTGTGGGAATGTTAAAATTCATTCACACGTTTCAGCTAAAATGGGTTTTGAATGTGAGTATTTTATAGGAATCTAAAGAGTGGCTTTGATAGTTCCCTCATGTGAAGAAAAAATTCTAGCAGTTATAATACATCAGGTTTGAATAGATTGGGACAGTACGTTGGAACCTTTTGTCTCTGTCTTATAGCAGATGTAGGTTGTTTAGAAAGCCCTAAGAGTCTGTGTGAGAACATACAAGAAAGTCCACAGGATGGCTTTAGGAGCTTACTCTTGCCAATGTTTTGGCAATAGCCTAAGTTGATGTTGCTTTGAGGTTTGAAGACTTTAAATTCATTGATTACATAGAAGTGAACTTGCTTGTTTGAAGAATGGAGGGACACAATACTAAAGGGTTTTGTGTTGATTCACTGGGTTTTCTAATGAAATGAGAGGTGAAACAAAACCTCTTCAAGGGCAAATCTTTCCAGTTGACTAAATGATTTTTTTTTTTGGGTCACTGGATATTTAGATAGTGGTGATAATGAATTATGGGTATATAATTGCAATCATGATTTACCTTTATATAAAATTATTTGGTTGGTTCATTCTTATTTCATTCCAGTAATTAGAAAAAACAGATACATACTTTTTATATCTACAATTTTTAGAGATTCTGAAGGCTAAGTAAGCCCTGTGTGTTGACCTGTTTGTATAATCTTCGGAATAGGCAAGGTAATAATGGAATGAAACACTAGGAAACCAATATGAACATGTTCTGTAGATGTGGTCTCTGAAGATGTCAGCCCTGAGCACTTTAAAATTTACTTTTGCATGCAGTTTTTTAATGGGAGGGAAAAAAAAAGCAACTTGTAAGCAAAGTTCCTCTATGACTTTGATCATCTGGATCCAGAAAACATTTGCTAAATCTGACAATTACTGAGAGTTACTATTTATTCTTGACTGTGTAAATCAGAAATGGACACCAAATAATACTCATGTTCAGTTCTGGAAATCTGCTGGTTGAGGTTTTTTCAGCTGTAGTTGTGCTTTGCATCTTCAGGAATACCAAACCTAACAGGCCTGGTTTTCTCCAAGGGCAACTGTGCTGAGAACACTGCAAAGAAGTTCACTATTTCCAGAGAGGAGCAGGACACTTATGCCATAGGCTCCTACACCAAGAGCAAAACAGCCTGGGACTCAGGAGTACTGAAAAATGAAATAGTTCCTGTCACTATTTCAAAAAAAGGTATTGTGGAAAGGTCTGATGAGATGGAATGTGTTTCTCATAGAGAGCTGTAACATTGTCTACGTTCAGTGCAGATTGTGTTGTTTAAACATGCAGATCTCAAGAACATTAATTTTGATCACCTAAGAATTTTCTGTTAGGCAGACTTTCTGGTGAACAGCAGTCAGTGACCTGTCATCTGGTTTTTGATTTTCAATTTTTCTTTAATATCTTCTTTTTTGTCTAAGTGAAAGGTTAGCTATTGAATTTCGTTATGGCTTAAGGACATCTATTTGTGTCTATTTGCTTTAATTTACATTAAAGATACACTCTTTGTCCTTTTTGTTCAGCCACTGGGAAGTATAAATGTGTCTACTGTAAATAAATTAGATTAAGGAATAACTTTTTTTCAGTTCATTTAGGTACATTTCTTGATGTGTATTTTACATGCATTTCCACTTTTTTACTGAAATAAATTATTTATGTAAGGCAGTATTTAGTCAACTGTTCTACAGAATACTAAACCAAATCTGAATTTCAGGGAAGCCAGATACAGAAGTGAAAGAAGATGAAGAATACAAACGTGTTGATTTCAGTAAAGTTCCAAAGCTGAAAGCTGTTTTCCAAAAAGAAAATGGTAAATATCATTAAAAGAACTTAATTTAAGCACTTGGCTTAATTTTCTGCCAAGTGCAAGGATGCTTTGTCACAGTGGAGAGTACTGTTCACAGGAGCTTGAATGCCCAACAGCAGTCCCTTTATTTTTAAATGTCTGCTGAGATAAAGAAACATGCTGCACAACAGCATGAAGTGGTTTGGATTAAAAGATGGTCCAAGAACCTTAAACCAGTGAACACCTCTGTTTGGGACATTTACCTTAAAAAGAGTGACAGATGTGATTCAGTTTTACTGTTGACTTGGTCTCTGCCAAGTGTAAACTCTTGTTGCTGTGGAGCTGGAGTGGCTTTACAGAGTTGCCATTGCTTCCTGAATCTGTAATTGATAAACCTTCCTGGCTAACTCAAAGCTGCCCCTCATTCACAACTCTTCCTGAGCTGGATTTCTGTGAAAATGCCAGTGATGCAGTTGCCATGGAAGGCATGATCTAAACTGGCACTGGGATAAAGATACGAATACCTGTGGCTGCATTTGTTTCATCAAACAGGTATCAGAAAACAATTCATTTTTAGTGAACTCTGTGCAATGGGTTTCACCAAATGATTGAGATTTCATGTTCAATTAACTCAGGGAAAAACAATCCTTAACAGGATATACATGAGCTGTTTTGCATAACCTCTGTCTAAGGAATGTTTTACCTTTTCTAGGAACAGTTACAGCTGCTAATGCCAGTACTCTGAATGATGGAGCAGCTGCTTTGGTGCTGATGACTACAGAGGCAGCTAAGAGACTGAAAGTCAAACCCTTGGCACGGATAGTAGGTACGATCTTTCTTACCTCTAGGAAAGTCCTGGAAAATACTCCCATCATGTGTTCTCAGACTGGGAGTCCTGTTTGGCTGGTTACCTGACATTATGGCTGCATATTCTCCATACAGTCCTTGAAATTTCAAGTGTTAAACCGGCAGACTTTAGACCATAAACAGAATTTTCTATATATAATAAAAATCTGAAAATATTATTTTGTGGCTTACTTAGGGCACTACATTTTCGATGCAGCTATTTCATGGACCATGGTATTCAGAATTTTTTTATCTCAGCAGTGTTTGCTGGTTGCAAAGAAAATCATGTATGGTAAAAACACAAGGTCTTTAAACACCTGTGATTTTTTTTTTTTTTCCAGCTTTTGCAGATGCTGCTGTTGATCCTATTGACTTTCCAATTGCACCTGCATATGCTGTTCCCAAGGTAAGAGCAAAATGGAATACATTTTGGAAAAAAAGAACAAAGTTCCCTAGCATTCCACTGCTGATTCATCCTCTCTCAGTGGGCTTTCTTGAGTTAGGATTGAAATTATCATGATGTCACAAATACTAAGAACAGATGTTTTACAGAGGACCAAAGCTACAATGCAGATCTTCAGAGTTAAAAAATTTCTCACACCTATTTTGAAAGAGTATTGTTCTATACTGCTTTTAGCAACTTTGGACATGTTTACACCTTTACAGTTTTGCAGCTTGTACGGCCAAAAGGCAAAATAAATACGGTTATTCAAGGACAGACTCATTCTAAAAGGTGCTGAAGTGTATGGTGTGAGGCAGTACTGTGTCAGTTTAAACGGACTAACTGCAGCAGCAGTCTTAGTTTTGTGTGATGGATATATATCCTTAGCATGGACCGCTGTTCATTCCTTCTTTGGTGAAAACTCAAGTTTGTGGTTCAGTCCCTCAGTTTTGCTTTTTCCCCATCTGACAAAGAGGTTCCTAAATGTGAGTTTGTGAATCGGAGTATGGGCAGCCTGAGTCACTGACTTCAAAATAGACCTATTATTTCTATAATTACTTTCTTAATTTTATCATAGTAGTAATTATTTTGTATTATTTCTAGATTCTAAGTGAGACAGGTCTGAAAAAAGAAGATATTGCAATGTGGGAAATAAATGAAGCATTCAGTGTTGTGGTGCTGGCCAATATTAAAATGCTGGGCATTGATCCACAGAAAGTAAATATTAATGGAGGTGCTGTCTCTCTTGGACATCCAATAGGGTAAGCAAAATAAGCTCTGGGTTTTGCTCTGCACCAAGGCATTGTCTTCTAGGTAAACAAGTTTTAAGCAAATTAAGGGTATGTTTGAATTTAATTATTATTATTGATTTGGTTGTGGGAGATTTGTTCCCTTCTTTGAAAGAGCTTTGCTGCATGTAGAGGTACTCTGAATATAAAGGCTGACGTAGAGGTGATCTCTTTATCCCAAAGAAACTTTAGCTTTACATACACAAACAAAAACTGCATGTTTAAGAACTTCTGTGTTTATTCCTCTCTAGCACCAGTACTTAATCTTGTACTGCACACTACTGCAGACAAAAGGATTCAGATTTTTTTGTTGATACTATATTCCACCAACTGCCCTCTGTAGGTCAAATTAAGAATTTCCTTTAAACTAAGCTATGTTCTTTTGTTTTTCTTATATTTAGAATGTCTGGAGCAAGAATTGTTGTTCACATGGCCCATGCTTTGAAACCAGGACAATATGGTCTTGCAGGAATCTGCAATGGAGGAGGAGGTGCTTCTGCAATACTGATACAGAAGCTGTAGCCTGGGTAGCATCAGGAACACAGCCTTAAATGCTCTCTGATCAAAACTGAGTGGTAGCTGTTACATCTTATTTATCAATCAGTGGCTGAATTCTGTAACTCCTATTCTAAAATTTCCTAAAGCATCAGTGATTACAGATCCGGACAACTGGCCTTTTATTGCTTTATCAGTGCAAGTTTTTATACAAATAAACAATGTCAAATTTTAATTCTGGCTTGAAACCTGACAATAAAGAATGTTAAATATGGCTCCCTCTGTCACTGACCTATCATTTCTTAAAGGCCCTTGACACAGAATTCTCTTGGTCACTTGGAGAATGCTGCTACTGGAAACTGCTGTTATTTCATAAAAATTATTTGCTGTATGATACCACCTTGGTACTGAAGATACCTTTTTCCTATGAAAGGGAATGGATAGTTCACATCTTCATTAGAACCACAGGGCCTGAGCTGAAACATTATGGTGGGTAGTGAATGACCCAGGAAAGAGTTACCTTTAGTCTCAAACAGCAAATTATTTTTAGATGTCACTATCACTATTAAGCATAAAATGCTTAAGACAATTTTTGTGCTTGCCTGCCCTAGTCCCTCTAACAATTGTTATTAGAACTCAAGTGTTTAATAAGGGATTCCTTGTCTTCAAAAACAACTGACTAACAGGACTTCTCCATTCAGTATCTGCAAATCTGCTTAGTCTTAGACTTGAAAACATTAAGCAAGACACACAACTTTTTATTAAAACAAAAATATTTATTCAAGCTGTAAATGCTATGCAGTATTTAGTTATTGGATGGGTTTAATATAAACATCTACTGCATAATCTTGGTTCCTTAGGAATCCTTGTATTCTGTCTGAAACATTGCCCTGTTGCTGTACAGATCTCTTACAAGAAAACTTGCAAATTATTTTTTAAAGACATTAACAATTTGAGAACAAAGGAAGAAATACCACTAGAGAAAATTCTGCAGTTTTGGAGCAAGGCATGCTCATTCAGCAAAATGTAGGCTGAGCTCCTCCTGCACCCCTTTTGGAGAGAGTTTGTGTAATAGCTAGGACAACCTCTATGTTAAACTGAAAAATCAGATGCAAATTTTTCCATATCTGGCTAAAACTGCAAGACTTAGATAGTAACAAACTTCTCAGCAGTACAAATGAAAGGTGAGGGAATTGACTTCACTAGAACACACTAATTCTTGTTAAGCTGTTGCTTCAGTTGAAGTATTCATACTGAGGCATGACCTCACACAAAAAGTACATTGCTTGAAAACAGCTTTTGCATTCGAATGACATCCTATGTAGCAAATACTGTAAGCAGAGGAGGCCTGTCCAAATTAAAATTCTTGTCTGAATGACTGGCTGGGAAAAGCTTCACCAGACAAAAAACACTTTTTGAGGTTTTACTGGCCTTATGTTTAGCTATTGGTATTTTTGTTACTTCATTCAAAGCCTTACCACACAGGTTTGACAATTATGAAAGAAGAGAGTGTGAGCACAAGCCAGTTAGAGCTGAATACTTAAGTCTGTTTCAGATTCAACAAAACAATGAGAAGTGGCCAAGGTAGCTGCCTCATCTTAGAGCGGTGAGTGACAAACACCGCCTTTTCACAGACCGACTGAGCGCTTCGCAGGGGTAAGTAGAGAAAGCAGCAGAACATAGACAACGTGGTCTAACAGGACATGTACAATCTTTCTTACATTTCATTTATACAAATTTACAGTTTTGCAATTTAAATGGCTCTATAATTATGCAAGTGCTTTTTAAAAAATAAACATATACCGACTCAATGATATTTACACTTTGCTTCCTGCTTCAAAAATGGCATGACGTTGCTATAAAGTGAAACTTCAGTGCACTGAAAGTGCAACTTGCCCTTTAGAGTTAACTTCTCTTCCCATGCAAAACCTCAGCATCACTCCACTGAGCTTCAGATGGCCCCACTTCCAGCTTCTTTTTGTTCATTCATCATAATGCAAAGACAACAAGAACTTGTCCACATCCATTCCTGCTGGAAAAGAATTTGGGAGCTTCTTTTTCTGTAGGAGAGGAAAGCAACAACTGTGTTAAATACAAAGAACCTGGGGGAACTGAAGAGCCTGCAAACATACCTTTCCTCCTCATCCTTCCATCCACCTTGTAGCTGTTACTACACAAATTTGCCCCAGAACTCAGACACTGCCATGTGCCCTCGCTCCATGGAATGACACATTTTCCAGTCTCGATGTTTCAGGAGCATGCTAAAACTAAGTATGTGAATTACAAAGTTATACTCCTTTATGGTTATTTACATTGAAAGACACCCTTTTGTGTCTCGCACCTTGGCTATTTGCCCTTAAAGCCTCAAGTCAAAAGCACAGTACTGCACACTACAGAGACTGTGAGTATCACTCATGGTACTAAACAAGGATGCAAGAACAGCCTGAATTCTAGTAAGGCTTACTTTGAGTTTGGCTTAATTCCTACATTCCACTTGGACACTTAGAATTTAGAAATTCATTCACATTATAGGAGAAATAATGTAATTGTCATTGGTGCCTATTTAGAATTAGTAGGAGTTACTTGTGTGCATCTGAAGACTAAACCAATCTTAAGAAAGCTTAGTTCAGAGTATGCTCAGGGGCAAAGCTGGAAATACTGACTAATCTAAATAGGATGTCAGGGACTTGACTAGTATCTCTAAACCATTTCATTACAAACAGTATACACGAAGATACCTAACACATATTTAGCATTTTAATTAAAAGAAGTAGATGTTTATACTTGCCTTGATTTTCTTTTTCTTTGATGGTGTTGGAGAGCTCTGAAGGTCTTTTCGATTTGCAGAACGAGAATTTCTCTCCCCCTCATTTAAGTCCTCCAGTTTCCTTTTCTTTACGGTGCTCCTCAAAGCCCTGAACTGCTGGGTGTTGTCCTTGAGGGGGGTTGCAGTGCTAGTCCTTGCGATGGCCGCCCGCGACAGGATCATGAGGGTGTGTGCAGCCATGCTGACGCTGTTCTCGCTGCCCGTCTCGCTGGCCGGGCTGCAGGCGGGCAGGTCTGGCGTGGCGGGGGGCACCATGATGCGAGGCGTAGTGCTGTCCTCGTTGAAGCGCCGGCACGTTGGGGTGCGGACGCTGTCCGTAGTGTCATCCGTGTGCCTGTCCCCAACTCCAGACGGCGTCCGGGGTACCGGCAGTTCTCCGTTTTCAACTGTCTTTCCAGCGGGGCTTTGCCACTGAATGTCTTGCAGCATCTCCACGCACTGTTTGCTGAACGGGCTGGACAGGCCAAGGCCTTGGCTGGAAGCTTTAGCAGGTTCTCGCTTTGGCTCCTTCGAGGACAAAGAAACAGAGACCGATGATTTGCCATTGCCAGCCCCATTCGACAATGACCCCTGCTTTTTGTTCAGCTCTTGTACTGAAGGAACTGTCTTCTCATTCCATGAGGCAACGCTTTGTTGGCCGTTTGAGAGTTTGGCGGTGTCCTGGTTCTTCTGCTTTTCGTCAGTATCCCTTTGTAACTCATTTTCTTTGTTTGCTGTTGTCTTGTGGAAGGGATCTAATGAAAGCCCTGCAGTTGCCACCTTCCGCTCGGGCTGTGGCTCCTTTGAAGATGCACTTCTGTTGCTACCAACTTCTGGCCTACACAGAATTCTGGGCAATGTTTTGTCTTTGTCTCTCTTTGGTACCTGGGCCTTAGCAGAGGAGGATGCTGAGTCAACAGCAAATAAAGGGTTTTCATTTCTTTCTTTCTGGGATGAACTCTTTGTGGCCTGAATTTGGGTGTTTCCTCCTGGAGTAGGTAGGAGGTTATCAAAGCAAAGCACTCTTCTGTGACTCTCACTCTGTCTTGAATTTGAGCTTGTGCTCTCTGCTGGTGCAACAGGCAAGTTCTCTTCCACTTTCCTTCCCGGTTCTGCGCTGGTAAGTTTGTCCCAATTTCCAGTCCTGAAAATGAGATGAAAGCATTTCATTGACTTGTTTATTCTTATTAGGCAAGTGAATTTCAGCTGGATGGAAGTCCCCACCCATCCCTCAGAAAAGGGATCCTCCATCCTAAATACAAGTATTTTATCAACACAAGGACCAAGAGTCAGGAATGACAACTGCAGAAAGCTCAGAGAAGGCTTTCTTGGCAAAAAGGCATGAAACAGAGTCTGCACACTGGACAATTAGGTAGACTGGCACTCTTCAGCCTGGAAAGAGAGATTACTGAGGGAAAATGTGACAGAGCTCTGTGAAGAAAGCCCATAAAAAAGAACCTATCTGCTGTACCTTCCAGTAGAAAAACTAAGGGCATCAAGTAACACTGTTAGTAGGCTTGAAACACAACAAGGAGGTCTGGACACTGCAAGTAACTAAACCTGGGAACTTTTTTACCTTGGGATATTTGTGGATGCTGGTAGTTTACTTGACTTCAAAAAGAAACTTGAGTGCATTCATGACAGGACAGTCCATCCCAGAAAACTACTTATGGCTCTGGAAGTCCTTGGAGCTGAAATTCCTAAGAGGCTGCCAGAATATTTTGGACAAAGTAATCACGTGTGCCTTGTACTCCTCCCTGTGCACTTGCTGTGCATGGCGAGATACTGAGCAAGACAAAAAGCTTCCAGTGGGCATCTGGACAACAACATCCAAACTCCCTGGGGTGTGGTCTCTACCTGACAACCAGCCCCATTCATGGGAAAAATGCCACCACTGTGGAAAGAAGAATGCTTCTGCTCTGTCAGCTCATACCGTGGTTGTGTCTGTGCCCTCTGCCTGGCTTATGCTGCATTTCCCAGAGAAGCTTTGGCATCATTCATCTATGACTGTAAGGCTCCCTCCCTGCAGATAAAGCCTCTATGATTTCTAAGAGGAAAAGTCAAGTGTTTGGGATGCTAACTTTGGTACCTTTGAAATGGTAGAAGAGGTCTGAGTGGTAGATGTTTCTTTTATTTGCATGAAATTTGAGATGAGACAGACGGTAGAAAGAAGAAATAAGAAATTACACCTCTTTGCAGGGAAAATTTTGCTCTCTTTGCTATGTGAAATGTACATCTAGAGATCAATTAAAGTTAACAGAAAGCTGAATTACTGAAGGGGTATTACCCAAGATCTTGCTTCTGTGGTTTTTAAAAAATCAGTACTTTTTGTATGCATGTGTTTGGTATAACTTGATATATGGTTGGGATTTTTTAATAAGTTGACTTTTAATGTTCCTGTTTTGTCTCCACTTTTCCAGTATTTTAAATGAGTTCTAAATAGGTAATTTTTTTTTTAAGTATGTGCTA